TTCCCATCATGTCTTTATGAAACTTCCCATCTATAGGTGGTGGCTCATCCCCCTTACTAAGTAGCTTATATCCCTGGTGGGATAAGTCGGCTTAACCTGTCCTTCTATCCCCAAGGAATTCTGTGAAATCCACCCTGTTTTACCCTCTGGTAAACATACAAAAAGCTATTGAAGCCATGGCCATAGAAATAGTGGATTTACCCAGCTAGAAAGCATGGTGATTTTCCATAGTTTGTATGTTTACCAGAGGGTACCCACCCTGTCCCATTCCCATCCTGCAGCAGTCCCACCTTGGGCTCTGCCGTGGGTGTCTGGGGTTTCTGCAACCCAGGGGGCGGCATGGGCCCCACCACAGCCTCGGCACATGGGATGATCCAACGATTGCCAATATTATATATATATATATATACATATATATATATATATGCTGATGTTATAATATGAATATTTTATAATAACGATAATGATAATGATAATAACAATAGTAAAATAATAATAGTAATAATAGTAAAATGATAATAAAATTGTTATAAGTGACAATAATAACTAATAATAATAATAGATAACAATAATAATAACAAACATAAATAATGTAAAATCAATAAATAAATAAATAAATAGATAAATAAATAAAACCAATAATATGTAATAATATGTGTATATATATACAGTATATATATATGAATGTCAACCCGGATAGTTGTAGACCCTGGTTGATTAATCAAAAGCTTAACCCCTAAATGGTGGCCATCCACTCAAACAGCCCAGAGGGTTAGCACCCTCTCGTTCCATATGGAGGGATGAAATATCGAAATGGGATGGATGCGGTAAACCTAAAGCCATAAACCAATATAAACCAGACCATTCCCAAATCTATCAATTGGTGGTGATTACAAACTATGTCTAAATTAGACCAAACAATCAACCGTTTTTTTCATCATCTGACCATTTGGGTGTTGACTAAACCTTACAATCCATCCGGCCACCCATCCCCATCCCCACTGGGCGCCCCTTGCTGCGGGCGCGCCCAAGCGCTCAGGCGTCTTGGAACGTTTCTCCACGAGTTCGCAGGTTTGGACGTAGGCGTCGATGAGTTTCTTGGACTTCCTGGGCTCCAAATCTGGGGGCCTACCAAAACTTAGGGGACGTGTTGAAGTCAACCAAAACTAAACGAAAATGATGTCAAAAGGAACCAGAATGGGAGTATACTCAGATTATATATCACCAAAAAACCGAATGGGATCAGCAAAAGATATGGGATGGGTGTGGAATATCCCCAATTCCTGGCCATGACAATCATGGGCGAAAAATGTTGCTCAACTACGGGACCATCGCCCAGAGTAACGGCAGTGTTTTTTTTACATGGGGATGGATCAAGTCGTCCGGTGTCCCAAAAAAAACATAGAAATGGATGCTTTCCTCGACAGAGAAGGGATAAAACCACCAAAATCGTTGTTGATCCCAAAAAAAAAAATGGTTGCAGAGTCTGCGGCTGAGGAGCAGCTTCTCAATGAAGCGACCGGAAAGATCAAAGACCAAACAGTCCTGGAATCCGCGTTCTTAGCCCACTTACAACTAAAGTGATGACCCAGTTGCTGACTAGGGTGAGCCACCTAAGTATGAATGTATGTATGTATGTATATATATATATATATTATATGCATAGTATATGGATATATACATACATATGTATATATATATATTCATATATACACATCCAACCAATATACCCTCCATCATGTGAAGAACCCATGGTTTCATTGGGATACTATATATCTAGAAATGATAGATTTTCCATATGCAAATTTGCTGGAGGATGCGTATGTATAAATTGTATCCACCAACATGAGGATCAATATAAGACAACAAAAGGAACAAAAATCAATCGTGAAGTGAAGGGGATGTATTCCAAAAGCATGCTAAAATTAGGGGAATATCATCTAACAGTAGAGGGGGAAATCACCAGCTATAATACGGATACATCTGACGTTGTCGAGGGTGAATAACTCCAACAATAAAGGGAATATGGCCAACAACAAGGGGTGTACGACCGACAACAGGGAGGACATCTCCATCATTGCCAAATATTGTTGCGGTTCTTCTTCCATGATATTCCTATGGATCAACTGGTGAACCCCAAAAAAGCTGGCAAACAGATGTTCATCCCCTATATTGGGCCCACCAATACCCATATGACCACAATACTAAGGAGCTATCCCGGAATCAGCAAAGGTACCAAACTGGAGCTTGAAATTCAGTTCAGCAAAAACAATTTTGATTCTACATCTGGTTGGTAAGATCCCCAAAATTGGAGTTGTCCATACTGATGATACAATCTTATGTATCCCATTTGGAAGTGGGTCTTGACATGTCTCGACATGACCAGCATAGTCCCCGCACTGTTCCAAATCTGTTGTCATCCCATACTGGGTCAAACTATGACCCCTAACAAACATGTACAAACATGTATAAACCGAAAACAAAAAATATATATGTAAAAATGTGAATGGACTCTTGTCCGATGTAACAATCTGTAATCGTTGATGTTAATATAGAAACAACGGCTGTACATATACCTGGGTCATACTTGGCATGCATATTGTTCACAACAAACCATCTAAATGGGGTTTGGTCACTAATGACAATCCCGGATGAATGAGCCCTGGCTGATGAAAATTTGGTGTTCCCCCGAAGTGGTGAAAATCTGAGACCACTGCCATTGGGGTTTGGATCCATTCATTTTGAGGTCCCATACGGTGGTGAGTAATGGAATTGATGCAGTAGACCCAAAGAAATGAACCAATGTAACCTATGCCATGCCCAATATTATACCAATTGAGGATGATTACAAAGATTTACAAACTATACATCAACCCCATAATAAACCACACTAGTGTTATAAACCCAGTGGGTGATTACAAAGTCATCCAAATCCCGCCTTCAGAGTGATGAAGGATTCCCGGTCTTCTCCGCCGATGCGTTTATCAATCAGCTTCCCTGGCAAGTGGCGGTAGGTTTGACTGCGTTGAAAATTGATAAATAAAAGTAGATGATAACTGATGAAGCATGGGATGAAATATAACCATGTGTGAAATGCATGCACCTTTCAACATCTCAACGTCTCAAAGTGGTCCGGACGTGGTGTCTTTTTAGTTTTTTGACTTCGAAATCTGCTTCGCGCCACAACGGCGTGCAATTTTTCATCTCTCATCTCCCCAGAATGCTCCGCACCCGCCGCTTTAGCGAGCCTACTTTTCGACCCTCCGGAGCCACAAAACATTGGAAAAACACGGTGTTTCGCGACTTTTCTACCTTTTCGCGTACCTGCATCTTCTTTCTTCTGATTCTTCTTTTCTTTGATCTTCTTCCTTCTCACTTTCTCTTCTCTTCCCACCTCTGCTTTTCCCTCTGATCTTCTTCCTTCTCACTTTCTCTTCTCTTCCCACCTCTGCTTCCCCCTGAACTTCTTCCTTCTCACTTTCTCTTCTCTGACTCTTCCCACCTCTGCTCTTCCATCTGTCCATATTGTCGGAAGTTTGACTTCTAAACTTCGTTCGATTGTCTCACATCTGTGATTATGACTAGATTCAACGCATTTTGTGCCACTCCGCTCAGCGTGCTCAATAGGGATTGGCGTTTGAGCCCAGGCAGCCGGTTTGTGAAACTGCAACCGGAACGAAATCATTGTGATATAATATATCTATATCTATCTATATATATATATATAGATACATGTCTATACCCCCACCTCTGCAGATCCTTTTTTTCATCGTGACCTAACCAACGAGGAGAACTGCACCACGCCTTCATAGTTGGCGTTATCCTCCTCGGCGCCGTGCTTTCCCGCACACCTGGTTGGCGTTTTTCTGAGCCCAGTTATGACTACCAAGTTACGGATGTAACACAGCTTCTAACGTTACGCACAGACCCCGTGGTTTGCCCGGACTGCAACATTGAGGACGCCCTGTTGGCGAACATGACAAGAGAGATTGCAGAGAATACTGCGTATAAGCAGTATTTTGGGGTTTAGGATTCAGAGTTTTCAGGGTTTGGGGTTTTTGGGTTCGGGTTTTCAGGTTAGGGCTTTAGGGTGTTGGGTTTTTGGGTTTAGAATTTAGGGTTTAGGGCGGTTTAGGGTTAGTCGTCTGGGAAATATCGAAACACAACATGTCGAAGGACAATGTTAGAACACCGTTCTAACCTTCCGGGCAAACCATAGGGTCTTGCCGTAACTTTAGTTATCTGTAGGAAAGAAGCTGTGGGAATTGGTCAAACCTTTCCATTTGAGCAGTAAGACAGGAAGAGCCTGGTGCGACTTTACAAGGGTTATTGAAATGCTGCAAGGAAAGGTTTCATCGACGCTGCTCCCATACTTTTCGAGCCCAAAAACGGGGCTCAACCATGGGCTTTCAACAAGTAAACTTAGTAAACCCACAAAATTGATCAAACCCATCCTCTGTCATCAGCAAGTGTGGGCAGCTTGAAGCTTCCATCAGGGGCTCAGCTCCATTGCTGGGTCATCACCTCTAACCAACAGTTGGAATTTCCATGAATTTCCATTAGCCCTAGCCATGCATCTTGTCTACTGACCAACATGCCATCAACAGCCTGTGTGCATATCTACCAAAACACTGAAATGGCAGTGGTTCTCCCTCTGGATATCCCGTCCCAACAGAACGTATGTGCTTACACCCTGTTGACCATGGGTCAACAGTATGGTACGCAACAACCCACAGTTTTGATCTGCAAGCCACAGATCTGTGCCCGGCCCGGACGCATCGCCTGTAGGTGATACGGACATAGCTGCCCATCTTGAAGCCTGCGGAGCGGGATCAGCTTCAATGGATTTGACATGAGACCAGAAATTCTGGGATATCCAGATCTGATGATCCAAATTGGCCAAAAAAGATTGGAAAATGATGCACGGATGGATTTCGGGGTGCACCTTGTTATATTTGGCCATTTTTCAAGATTTCGGGTGTGAAGCAAATCCTTGAACCACCCATGGGTGTCCAAGGTCGGGTCAGCCTCTTGTCGGCATCCGTCGATTGCTGACCGGCTTCTGCCGGACCAGGCCCGCCTCGCGTTCCCAATTGGAGCCGGGCAGCCCTAGGATTTATTGTTAAGCATTGATGAACCCCTTGGTCGATTTTTTACGGAAGTACCATTGAGTACCTGTCTTTCTGGGGATGACATCGCTCGGATCCCACTGTTGGTACCACCTGGTTGGTGCAATGACTAGCAACCAAGCAACCAAGCAACACCCTTACCCAAAGTCACCATGAATGCGACCCAGGAAAAAACTTCAGGCTCCATCGTTGGACAAAAGTGCAAAAATGATCAACATGTGACATATTCATACAATGCAAATAGATACAAATAGCAGAATAAGAGTATTATTGACGAATTACTCCAAAATAATATCATACCATCGTCCGATGACAGTATTTAAATAAATGTCAGAATGAATCAAACTGACTATATAATCCAGTTATACAAAAAAAAAAACATCATTTATCATTTATTATTTATTATTGTCATTAGCATTATCATGTTCATTATCAATATCATTATCATTGTTATGTTTGTTATTATCTATTATTGTGTATCATTATCACTATTATAATCATTATCATCGTTATCCATTATTATAGGTCATAGGTATCGAAGTATTCCATCCATGTTTTCCTCCCAGCAGCGATTAGCGCAACAGCCGCCTGTCCACCCATTGGACCCATGGCCGACATCGCGGCCAACCGCACTGGCCGCGGTCAGCACCTTGGACACAAGGGAATAAACTGCCCAGGAAAACTTGGATAAATTGGGTACAAAATGTCGGTTTACCAAGTGAAATTGGTAATGAAATGGGGATATCCTGTAAATTTTGGATTATCTGACTATCCGATAAATTGGGGTTTACTCATACCAGCACAATCGGACGTGGAGGTGGGTTAATCATGCGAGACAACAAAGTGACCCATAAGAAGTCTGGTCCTTTTTGGGATCTAATAAACATCCAGAATGTTGACCCACATCCACATGAATGGTTTACAACAAAAATGTTGGGGACGTCACTCTGATGATCTTCATTAACTGGGGGATGTGATCAGCATCAAGACCGCCATGGAACATGGGTCAGGTCCAACAGGTCTCCAAGGGTACAGAAAGCCTATGTTTAGCAGATTTAAGGGATCCCCAACTGAAAACGATCAAATGAAGGGGTGGTTATGATGGTTATGTAGTTATGTTTCAACAAGCCGCACAGCCATCAGCCATGCTTTCCCAGCCCTACATTCCCAGCCACACGCGGCACTTGGGTGACTCGCAACAACGCGTAACATGACGTCAAACTCTGAGCCAAACAGCCCATCAGCACGGAACGCTGCAAGTGGTGACTGTGATCCTGCCATAGTACTGGATCCAACTTCCTTAACCGAGGCAGTGCCAAGTTTCTCAAAAGGTCTCAAGAAGTTTCGAAAGGATTCCGCACGGTGGTTTTAGCTTACCGGCAGTCACATTTGGCGAAGTACCAATCTTGAAAATCCGAAGTTTCAACAATCGTGAGCTCCTCCACATGCAAAATTGCAGTCCAAGGATGGGGTTGACCTAAATCAATCTAAATCAGTCATCCGTGAAACACCGCAATTTCCTTTTTGAGCACAGATCAAATGCCAAGTTCGCTTCCACACAAAGTCCTTCCAAAAAGTGAGGCAGAATTGTCACTTGACCATAGTTCATGATGTCCTTTTGATTCAGTGACATCATTTACATCTATGTACATCAATTTATATCCGTTTACGTCCATTTACATCTATATTTCCCAGCAATCAACGATATAATGATTTATATATGGATTGATTACACATCTTTGTGACTTCACAATGCTTTGCTGGTGCAAAAAAGTTGCCCATCTCTCTTCGAGGCCGCGGCAGCAATGGCCGCGTTGGGTGGAGATGAACCTGATTTCATGCGGATTTAAGCGAATAATATGGGGACATAAATGGGGGTTTGGGGGGACAATTGAAAGATAGACTCGATGTCCATTATATAAGCAACTCAATATGGAATTCAGATGTAAACCAATTTTTTTTCATTCTTAGATTTTGGCATTCACAAGGCTGTAGGTTATCCCAAACAAAAGTGGTGCAGTTGGAAAAAGCAGGTCTGTATGTGCAAGGAAAGATTCATATGGAGGCTAGGTCCTGCATATACCATGTGCATGCAATCTGTATACAAAAAGGCAACTGCAGCCAAAGCTGTAATGCAACAGTTGAGTACCCCGCCAGGCTCGCATCAATATTATCATAATATCTCAAAACGCTGGTGTTCTTTAAGCAAACACCAGCATGTTCATGGAATCCAGGGCATGCACAAAAAGCCCAAAGAAGTGGCCGAGGTTGCCGAGGTTCGGACACAGCACGGACTCTCACGCGGCACCTGGTCACTGTGCAAGGTGCCAATGGTTCTTTCAAGGTGGTCTGTGCAACAGGCGCGAGCTTGTTGGGAGAAACCATGAGCCCCGTATGGCCCCCTTCTTCTGCTGCGATTCCCTCAAGTTCGCCACATAATCAACTTTGTGAACACCAAATAGAAGGAAGGGACCCAAAAAAATGCTTTACACAGGGTTGCTCCAAACACCACAGGTACAAGGGGTAGATTGGTTATCATTTTCGGTCAAATGACCCATTTAAATCCATTTACCATCGTGAGGCTATCATTTACCTATGATCCACCTATGATGGGTTAGAGCAAAACGGTGGCAGAGGCCGAGGCGAGCACCATGGATGAAGCTGCACTGGTAGAAACGTATGTCAATGACCTCCCGGGCGCAAAGCTGAGCAAAGCAAATCAGTCACAGCGACCACCTGTTATCACCTGTTGCTGCACGTTCCGTTTCAAGAACTTTCGCACAGAGTTCAATCCTTTCATGTTTCTTTCATCTTTCCAACATCCCAAAACCCTACTTCCGCACATGGACTGCTCGGCATTGCAAGCACAGAAACCCTTTACCGATGAAGTGACCTCATTGACAATTTCTTGAAATCAAGATACTTCCAGATTAGATTCTTCTGGCGGGACCCAAGTGCAATTCACTGGTGGCAAACGATCAAAGAATCTTTTTGTGTCCTGGCCGACTGGCACGAGGTGTCTCTACTTTTCGTGCCAAGTGCTATTCTTCAACACGAAGACCCAGATTGGTGCCTTCCATGGCAACTCCAGGCTCGGTTTCCACCGTGCAGTCAAAGGACTCTGAGGTGCACACTTCTTTGAATGTAGGTCTGCAAAAGGTGTTGGATAATTTGGTGATATTACATGCTGCATCAGGCTACGAGCACAGCCCCACAGTGGCAAGGCAGAAAAAGGTTTCACATTGTCAATTTCGTTTACCGCCGGTTTTTGAACAGAGTGACTTCGGAACTTGAAGATGCAAGGCTTAAACCATGCATGGTAAATCATTCATACTCCGACTGAAACTGTTCAAGCCAGAATTGGACCATCTGGCAACGCATCCAAACGCATCAGTACGCAAGACCAAACTTGTTGCGTTTATATGCTCGGAAACGCGCTCCAAGATTTGTTTTCCACCCTATGACAAGCGCTCTGTCAGTTTCTGTCAGTTTCTGTCTGACTCAGCTTCCTGTACTGGTGCAACAACCTCTTGCTGCAGGCAAGTTGCACCGTCGCCGGTGGATGAGTTCTAGAATTGCAGTCACCAGGGAAGATAAGAGCTGGCAGGGCCAGCGCCAAGTTGCCAACATCTTGCAAAGGCAGCGCTTGGGAATGTTCAACGGTTGGTGACTCATTAAAATCCTGCGATGGAACCAGCCAGGCGGGGGTTTGCCACTTCCATTTTATCCCTGGCATAGAGCGTAGGCTTTGTTTGAATTAGATTGCAGATGTGAACTTTCCCTGAAGCAACATGAAGTAACCCATGTCTGGCGTAGCAGGAAGTTTGCTGCACTTAGTTCTGCACAAGTGCTAGCCAAAACTGTCTGGAAATGTCTGGAAAACAATGGCTCATGTGGATCTACTTGCAATGGATTGCACGGCCGCCAGCTGCTTCCTGGAATGCTGTGACCAGGCTTTCCTCGCTGTTGGCATCATACAAGTTGAAGCTGATGTTCTTCGCTTGGAACTTGGCGCCAATATTCTTCAACACACTTTTACCTGCCTGTGCACCGAGAGCAACGCAAGTAATGCATTTGATCCTGTTACCGTGTTCTGCCAACAAAGCTGTCAGCTCTCGCTCGGGGCATTCCGCTTCGCCATCAGTAAGGAACAGGATGAGCTCCTGTGTTGCGGCAGAAAGTCACTATGATTGCCAAGAAAGAAGAACAATTGTATTAGCTATGGCACCAGATTATGATTCTTCAAAACCAAGTACAAGCTAGGCAATCCCAGGTCATATTCCTGTCTACATGCAACTCCTTGTCACATTTGAATGTAGTAGTAATACTGTATTTGGTTTCAGGTGACCTGTACTATCGGTCAGTTTTGCGGAGAGCAATTCTGCGCGAAGCTGAGAACACTGCCAAACAGAATACTCCGCGCAAGTGTGGTGGCAACTCTAGGACTGTCCTGGGTTTTCGAGCGTTTACTGATCAGGGTTCGACACGCAGCAAAGGCGTTGTGAAAGCAGGTCCCTCCGCCAACTTGACGATGAGCAATATCCTGCAACTCTGACGCCTTTACATGCGTTGGCACAATCACCTGGGACGGAACAGAACTTGCAGCTCAAACAACCCTTCATCCTGGAACAGCCCATTTGGCTCCTTCGACCATCACTATTTCACGTGATTACAACGGTGCAAGAACAGTTTGAACCAAGGAGCCTGGGTCGTGTGATTGAAGAGAACCACTGACACCATGGTGTTGATCCCCTGTCGTTCTTGCGCACATAGCTGCTCCCGAAACTTGGAAAACGCCACGTCCATATGCTGTTTCCTCTTTCCAGACATTGACATGGAGATGTCAAGTAGGACAGAGTAGTGGACTGGGTCTCTGACCTCATTGAAAGTTGCCAGCCTCTTCAACTTCTGACTGGTCTCGGCATCTCCGAACAGAAGGCTTTCCCATTTCCTGGTCTCCGCCTCCAAATGGCGGGCTCGATTTCTCCGCTCCGCCATGCCAAAGAACTTGGAGGAAGTCTTTGCAGTTTGCTTGGCTTTCAACAGGGACTGAATCTGGTCCCCCTTCAGATTGCGCAAGCTGTTCACGTCCTCCGGGCTGAACGCCATCTTTCCTTCCAAGTGCTGAGCACAAAGAACTTGAAGGAACAGCCCAGATTTACCGTGCCGGGCAGTGCGGCCTTTGATCTGCTGCTCTTCACTCACCAAGCTGGACAAATACGTTTGAATCACGACCAGCCGATGCTTCTCTGGCATCTGGAAGTCAATTCCTTTTATGGTCGATTTGAGCTACGTAACCCAAAAATGCGAGTTATCTAGGACATTATATAAATCTGATCCCAATGAAGCAGAAGCTGAAAATGTGACGTTGAGATCTCAAACGAGATTCCTCTTCCAAAGGCCCTGGTGAGCAGCGTGGCTTTGCCTTCAGCTGTTGCAGCCGCGATGTAGCCCTTACGGCTCTTTGGATTTGTGCGCTCTGTCAAGCACTGCATGTTGGCCCAACCTGCACGTGGAACATGGCATCAGCCCACCTGGCTGTAAACTGCCTTGAACGGATCTGAAGACCAAGGGCCGCCATATTTAGAGATTTTATTAGAGTTTTATTTTTTAAGGGCATCACTGCAGACATGGTTTGTGCCCAACCCTCGCCTGGATACTTTTTCATCTGCGTCTCATTCTTAAAGAAGACCAGCACAGAATCTCCCCTGGCAGTATGCTCGGCCACTAGCCTTTCAAGGCCCAGACCCCACTCGTCCTCCACAGCATGAACCTCAGGGATTCTCCGAAGCATCTACTACAAGCGTTTGCATTTGAAACATGTTTCATCCGACGAGAGCTTCTGGACCCGAACCTGCACATGCTCCCCTGGGTTGAAGAGGAGTCTTCCCCCTGCAAAAATGGAAGGAGTAATGGTGAAATGCTTGAAGCCGTATTCATTCTGGAGCACCGTCTCGAACCCCTCAATGCTTCGGAGCTCCATAAGTGTGCCTGTGACACCCAGAATACATGCATAGGAGTTTGGCAAATCCGCAAACGAAAACCTTCCGCAGAGCATGTCAATGCCAATCTGCTCTTGGACTTGCTCAGGGGTGAGCTTGCCCTGCTGCAAGAAACTCAAGTACGCAAAGGTTGTCTGGTTGGAGTAGGAGATGTCGTAGCTGACCTCATCCTTCTCCTTGTACCCAATCCTCCCTGTTTTCTCATCCAGAATTGGCTCTGGCTTGGACCATTCCTCCACGTTTTGAACAAGCTCTGCAGCTTTTTGAGTCAACACTCCGCGCATTTCTTCCGGGTAAGCCTCCAACAGGTCCTCACAGGCCAAAGCTGTTGACGTTGCACAAATCTCTGGAACCGCCTAAGCATACACGAGTATCAATTGTATGTATAGTTCTAAGGCTGCCTGTGTTCCCCTGAAGCTGCCATGTGTTCCTCGCATATTGAATAGGCCCGAGTATAGACCTGAATAGACACAGTGAAATTACGGCCCAACAAAAGTCACATCACTTCAATCCTGGAACTCGTCAGTATCAGCGATGTTCTTGATAGGACGCCCAGCTGTCACTTCAGAGAAGATGTGGCTCACCAAGCCCACAGCCTTCACAGGGGCTGCAACTGCGCTTGCAACTTCAAAGCTTACAATAGTGAAATCCCACCAGCCTAAAGCGAAGGAATCCAGAACTATTTAATTTCTGACTTATTTTCTGATGTTTTTCTGACGCCCCAATATCACCTTATGGCTGAGGTGGATTTTTACTAGCTTACAAGTGTGCATTGGCGCCGCCAGGCTAGCAGCAATTTCAATTGGCATGTGGCGTCAATTCAGGACGTGCCGCAATACACAAAAATCCCTCATACGTGTGTGTCCAATACAGTATGCTTGAACAGCACAACACCAAGTCACTGCCTGTTTCACCTGGAACTGCCAAACTCTTAAGTCGGTCCTCCACAAGCTCACACCGCACAAATACAACAATGAAAAAAAGGATTTCCACAACTTACTATCTCAGCCCCCTTGCCAATAGCAAGAATAGCTCCCCCAAGCCTGAGGAGACGTGAGCTTGAAGCCCCCATCCCATGTGTTGCCATAAAAATTTCGCGCAAAAACGACGTCCACCTCATCAATGAGGCAGGCGCGATTGGCAAATTGACCTTGTGACCTGCAAAGCGCAAGTGGGTGGTCAAGAAAACACGTACCAGGGCGTAAAAATCACAAAATGTGAATAACATATTCAGCGCACAGCCCACCTTGCCGTCGTGACCTTCCCGCTCTCAATCAGCTCCTTTGACGCTTGTCGAATGTGGGCTAAGCGTTCCTCGCAGAGCTCATCAAAGGTCATGTACCGGATTTTCTCCTCCACGCCCAAAAACCTCGGAATTGCTAAAGATTCCTTATAAAACAGCAAAAATCTCCCACGCATTCCTCAAATGCTGACTTTACCCGTAAACAAACAGAAAGGAGCGATGTGAGCAGTGGATTTCAAGCTCTTGGGGAGCATGTGAAGAAAACAATGTTCAGAATTCAAAACTGCCTTTTCCGCATCTGCATGTATACCATGGTGATTGCGTCGGAACCTATACTATACACTCTGGCCTGCCTCACTTCCAACCAAGATTCAAGCAAGAATAATGTGTCCACACTTACCTGACCTGTGGACTAGTTGCCAAATCTTTGCTGCTGTTTTTGTTTTGTGATTGTTTGCTTCTGCGGAGCTTTGGCAACTTACTCCAGAAAACTGCCTAAAATCATGGAAAAAAACAAAACAACCAAAACGCACCTACTCCATCCATGCTTTTCATTGGTTTCTCCAAGCTCTGCCCACTCTTCTCCACACCATTGGAAAAAACTGCGGACACGGCAGACACCAGTAAAAGAACTCAGAGGCTTTGGGCATGGGCTATGTTTTTTGTGGTGTTTCTCTTTTCATACGTTTGTAGCAACTTTCCAACAAATGACAAAAATGAAACAAAACATTGGCAAACAAAGTACCATGAGGACATGGGTTCTGCGTGTTTCCTCTAAATATCATCTTCCGAGAGGTATGCACTATACACATGTCTATATATATATATATATATATGTATATATGTATACATATTATTGTGCATGTATATATATATATACATAACATATTGTGTGTATATTGTGTATATATACATAACATATTATATACATATAGTTGTATTATTTATATATACATATATATATACATATATATATACATATATATATACATATATATATACATATATATATATATACATATATATATACATATATATATATTATGTGTTTCCTGCAAGAACATTATTTCAAAAGTTTGATCTTGCTTGAGAAGGTGTGGCGTCGATTTGTGCATTCCCTTTCACAGGGTGCAACATCTCTTTGAAAGGAATGCAGTAAACCAACCCTTTTCCATGTAGAATCTTCTTCGGAATCCATTTTGGAATTTATGTTGGGACTGCTGACGTCATCAGCCCACCCGGCATTGCAGAAACCTATGCCGAAACCTATGTCGCAACCCATGTTGTAGATTTGGACCCGTCAATTGCTTAGGCCCACAAGCTGAACAATAGAACTTGGCCACCCCAATTGGTTTGGGATTTGAGCGTTAGGTTTTTTGAATCTCGGAAGCAGCAGCGTTTTTCAGCACGTTCTGCGCAGCATTTTTTTTCCTGTAAACCCCAAAAGTGCATGAACCTTTTTCAGAAACTGTTCTTCTGTGTCCATGTCCCCACCAAAAGCCCTGATATCGTTCATGAAGGAACGGTTCTGAGCGGTTCAGCCGTTTGCACCTCCTCCCAACCCCTGTGTCACTGGAACACGTTCAAAAATTCGGGATCTCAAACATCATGTCTAACACCACTTTTCCTGTATGGCAGAAACAGTGGTTTGAACAGGTTTACTTCAAATCGAACATGTGGTTGAAAAGAGTGCGCTATTCATTCGAGGAAGTGAAGTGTTTCCTTTAGAGAAACAATTGTCCCTTGAAAAAGACCATAAAGGAAGGCTGAACTTCTTCAAAGAGTGCTACAACATCTTTCAAAAGGTAATGCATATTTTGCTGGAATGCTGACGTACTGTTTCTTGCAAAGAATTGTGTGCTGTCTGAAAAGAGATGGAAGTTCACTGATCAAAAACTTGTTTTCAAAGAGCTGACCTAATTCAAGGATTGCTGAATTTGTGCAGTGAATACTGCACTTGCTCACCGGAATCCGGAATGCTAAGAGTATACTGCATATTGTGAGGAATATTGATGTTTATATAAATGGAGAATGTACAATTTTAAAAAAATATATATATGGTGAAAGTGAAAGGAAGATTGCACTTTTCCAAAAGAAACCGCGCATCTTTTAGAGGGGTGTTCCAGTAATTGGGGGGTATATACATAGTGCAAATTTGAAATAAACACTGTATATACTCTCTCCACTTAAGACTGCAGCTTCTGCCTGAAAGATGGTTCTTATGTTTCTTGAAAAGAAGGGTATGCTGCACTAGCTGGTTGAAAACTACATTTCCTAGTGTGCAGGGCATCGCCGTTTAAATGGATACTGTGGTAGCATTTAACGAAGATACAATGTGCTGAAAGGAACCTGCACTTCTTCATAAAGAACCCTACATCTTTGAAAGGAATGCTTCATGGTTAGCAGAAAGGGTGGAAAGTTTGGTTGCGTTTGCAGCTGGTTCAAAACAGTGTTTCCCTGTATTGCGATTTCCTGATTATTTGATATTATTTGCGAGCTTTCGCCAGGTTTTGGACTCAAGCGCTGCGGTGCGCAGGGTATGCTCTGTACATGCATGCTGTTGACATGGTTGCACAAGACAGCTGTGCATTTAACATGGTGCGTTTTCACCCGTGATTCTGGTCTTGTGGAACCGCTAGTTCCCCAGCTTCCAGAAGTCGTCGCTCTCGACGATACTTCTGCTTCATGAGCTTTACCATTTGTGCTTCTGGGGATGGAACTGTATTCCACACTCCGGTCTTCAGAGTGGCTCGCAGCTCATTACTATTCATATCTTTCGTAGATGCTGCTTCCAGAAGTCGTCGTTCTCGACGATACTTCTGCTTCATGAGCTTCACCATTTGTGCTTCTGGGGATGGAATTGTATTCCATACTCCGGTCTTCAGAGTGGCTCGCAGCTCACTATTCATAATGCATATCTTTCGTAGATGCTGCTTCCAGAAGTCGTCGTTCTCGACGATACTTCTGCTTCATGAGCTTCATGGAATTGTATTCCATACTCCGGTCTTCAGAGTGGCTCGCAGCTCATTACTATTCATATCTTTGGTAAGTGCATCTACGAGCATTTTACTCGTGTCTATCCATTGAATTATATCTGGCATGTCACTACTCAGTTCATCTTGTTCTTCACCGCTGGCATCTTCCCAGATGAGTTGGCGTAGTGCTTGAATGTCGATTGATAATCGTTTGTCATCAACCTTTCCCATTGCATCACTCTTGAGATGTTCTTCAAGTGATTTGCAATCTGTAATCCAGATATGCTGTCGGAAACTTCTGCTCTTATTTTCCCAGTCTTTGAATGATTGAAATTCGCCATGGGATTCTGCAATGAGGGCTCGGAGTCTCATGCCTTCTTCAATTGCGAAATTGACGCCATACGTCTCTGCCTGTAGTGTGTTTCTGCAGATCCTTCTAATGATAGTTGACTGCCATGAAATAACGTGAAACGCTGATTCCTCCTTCTTGAGGAAATCTGGGTTGACCAAAATGGTCATTCGTGCTCTTTGACTTTTGTATTTCTGTATCCTTTTCTTTACTTGCTCATCTTCGTTGGACCATGATGCATCTGAGACTGTGACAATGATACAGTCTTTCCAATTGATCGCGTCTGTCCTGTAGATTATTCCCTTATTGGAGTGTTCTCTGGCTTCATCGATTGCTTCATTTGCGTAGACTAAATCCTTGATTGTAGCTCTGTTACATTTTGATTGTAATTTTGAGACCTTGTATGATAAGTCTGGTCTTGCTTGTCTTGCAATCCAGGCTAAACTGCCTACGACGCTTCTCAACTGAGCTTTCTCTCCTTCATTTGCAGGAGAATCTTTCTTGACTTGTGTGCGGTACTTGATCTTCTCAAGTTTCTCAGTTGTGTCTTTACAAGTTGCTGTGATTGTAAAGTCTTCTGCCTGACTGATTTCTCTTCCACAGAATCTGAAACTTCCTGTGGAGATCTTCTTGTCTTCTACTTGGACAATCTTTTGTATGCGCTTCATCACATCTTCATATCCGGGTTTGCATGCCTAGATCAGATCATCTACGTGTGATGCCATCATGACTTTTGGTTCACTGTCTTTTGCGATGTAGAACAATGCTGAACCCAGCTTTGAAGCTGTGAGTCCTGCTGCAATGCTCTCTTTCCTCAGCCTTTTCCAAAACAAACGTCCTGAATCTCGCGATCCGTAGATCGGGGTTCGACAGATGTACATTCTGTCTGGGTTGTACCCTTCGATCGGGATTCCACCACGAGGTGGTTTGAGAATCATCAGTCGATCCATGGTTTCACCATGGAAGTAAGCGTTGGTGATGTCCAACGCCATCAACTTTAGTTTCTCTGATGCTGCCCATGATAAAATCATATTGACAGAGTCGAGATCTGCTGTTGGGCTGTCTGTTCTGATTCCGAGGGTTGTCTCTTGGTTCCCAAGTGCGACTAACCTTGATTTGTATTCTGGTTTGTGTGGTACTCCAGGTCGCTTCAAATGCAAGTGCTTGTCGGTATCTATCCATTGAGTCCCAATTGGTTTGTATCCTTCTCGGAGAAGTTGTTGAAGTTCTTCTCCTTCAATTGGTCTTACTGCCATGAACTTTTCCCACTTCAACCATTCTGCTTTCCTAGATCCATCAACTCCTTTTCTGGTTTCTTCATTTTCTTTTTCATAGTTGAATTGTTTTCCTGTGGCTTTCTTCTTTCCGCTTTTGGACAGATCTACCATTGATCTTTCAGCTAGGAATGCGTGTGTCTGTTCCTTGGTTTTCACTTGGTTCGCGACTGTGCTTTTGAGAACAAAAATCGTTTTTCCAGTCCATTCGCTGTCCATGTTTACACATGATCCTTCATCCCAAGTATCATGTTTTCTCTTGAATCCTCCATGATTCAACGTCATTTCTGTGATGCGAATGTTGGACAACTGTTCTATTTCGACGGGACACTTGACTGAATCAGGAAAAAATAACGCTGTCCTTGGCGTTTCATGCTTCCTGATCAGTAGTCCGTGTTCCGGCAGGTGTTGCCATGTGTCACTGGCAAAGTGCGACCGATTCCAACCTTCTTGTGCTAAATCAACGCCGCTTCCGGTGGCACCGGCACGATTCATGGCTTCTGCCAATGGACTAGGTTCTGCCCGTGA